TTGAAGACATCACTGGCGAGAAGTGATTGCAATGAAAGCGCAACTCATTTGATGACAAAATCAGATATTAAGAGCGAAACAGAAGAGTATAATAACGGGTCGAGTGATGAAGAAATGGACGACAAGTTAGACACCGATTACACCGAAAATGACTGTCGGTTTGTGTATGATTTCACGGGATGTGGAAAGAAGTATAAATCAGGAAAATCCTTGAAGAACCACAAACCCATTCATTTAGGTCTGACCTTCCCGTGCAATGTCGACGACTGTCGCCAAGTGTTTCCCATTAAAAGTTATTTAAGGTCACACAAGAAGAACATGCATACGTCTAAGACATCACTGCCTGGAAGTGATTGTAATCAAAACACAACTCATTTAATGGTAAAAACAGAGATTAAAAGCGAAATAAAGTCGAATCCAATTGAGACCTATATGTGTGATGTCGACGACTGTAACGCTATGTTCACCACTCAGTTGTACTTAAATAAACACATGAGTGTCGGACACGGATCTAACCATTTGTCCAATCAGTTAGGCTCTGAGTCAAGTCCTACAGATCAAAGCCAAGTCAATGTTTCAATCAATGTCTGCGATAAGAGTATTACCGGTAAAGAAGAAAATGGTGTGAATGAAAACCAGTTTTTAGGAGATCCGGAAGAATCAGTGGACATACTATGGATTATGTGTCCCAACACTGACTGTCAGTATAAGAGTGAATGCAAACAAGACATCAGAGATCACATTAAAAGTCACTCAAATGAGTGCAATAAAAATGATGTCAAAGACCGGTCAAACCCTATAGACAGCACATATCGGTGCCAATGGCCCGGTTGTGGACAGACATCACTGAACGCAACCATTCTATACGAACACGTTATGAAACAACACAATAGTCTGGATGAACACAACCATTAATAAGTCATTTTAATTGTGTTTTTAATTACATTTTTTAATACTGTATCTTAATTTTTTTAATTCACTTACTATTATATTTTATATGTATGTTAAGTAAAACAGTATAAATAAAATATTAATTCATTGATATTGTATTCCTTTATTATTTATAATTATTTGTGTGTACTTTTTGAAAGATAAATCAATTTTAATTAAATTATTGAATTTAATTACAGTTTAATTTATTTAGTTTTTGTGTTTTAATCCACGTTTTATATGATTAACATTTGACTACATGTGGAGAACACGTGACTATCATTATTGTTGTTTGCATTCAATGAATGAGTATTTGAGTCAAACATGGGATCAATTTGTGGTGATTTTCGTGGTTTAAGTCGAAGACAATTGTATTCAAAGTTAAATGAATTGCAAAATGAAAACAATTGTTTGAAAACAGATTTATTGAGATTTCAATTAAATTTGAGTAAAAACTCAAATGAATTGAAGACAAAAACAGATAATAATTGCGAAACAAATGCCAAAAGAAAAGTGAAATCAAATACAAGTGAAGCGAAAGACAGCGAAACAGAAGAGTATAATAACGGGTCGAGCGATGAAAGAATGGACGACAAGTCAGACACCGAAACGAAGACAATACCGATAATAAATGATAAGAAAACTGAGTATCAGTTTGTTTGCGATTTCATGGAGAAACAGAAGAGTATAATAACGGGTCGAGTGATGAAGAAATGGACGACAAGTCAGACACCGATTGCACCCAAAGACAGACTAAACGCACAAAATATGGTAAGAAAACTGGCCGTCCGTTTGCCTGTGATTTCACGGGTTGTGGAAAGAGATATAAGGAGGAGAGATATTTAAGATACCACAAAGACATTCATTCGGATCAGACCTATGAGTGCGATGTCGAGGAATGTTGCAAAGTGTTTGCCACTCAACGCTATTTAAATAGACACAAAATGATACACATGTCTAAGACATCACTGGCGAGAAGTGATTGCAATGAAAACACAACTTATTTGATAACAAAACCACACATTAAGAGCGAAACACAAGAGTGTAATAACGGGTCGAGTGATAAAGAAATGGACAGCAATTCAGACACCGATTACACCCAAAGACAGACTAAGAAGAAGAAAAGTAATGTCAAAACTAAGGGTCGGTTTGTCTGTGATTTCATTGAATGTGGAAAGAAATTTAAGACAAGAGATAACTTGAATGAACACAAACCCTTACATTTAGGTCTGACCTTCCGGTGCGATGTCGACGACTGTCGACAAGTGTTTGCCATTAGTAAGTATTTAAGGCGACACAAGAAGAATAAACACATGTCTAAGACATCACTGCCTGGAAGTGATTGCAATCAAAACACAACTCATTTAATGGTAAAAACAGAGATTAAAAGCGAAATAAAGTCGAATCCAATTGAGACCAATGGGTGTGATGTCGACGACTCTAACGCTATGTTCACCACTCAGTTGTACTTAAATAAACACATGAGTGTCGGACACGGATTTAAGTATCACTTGAGATCTAATTACAAGACTGAATCCCAAACAAGTCTAACAGAGCATCGGATCAGTCCATCAAATGAAAGTCAATTTAATTCTTCAATCAATGTCTGCGATAATAATATTAAAGAAGACAATGGTTTGAATGAAAGCGATGCGATAGCAGATCCGGAAGAATCAGTGGACATACTATGGATTATGTGTCCCAACACTGACTGTCAGTATAAGAGTGAATGCAAACAAGAAATAAGAGATCACATTAAAAGTCACTCAAATGATAGCAATCAATGCAACGGCCGCTCAGACCGAACAGACAGCACATATCGGTGCCAATGGCCCGGTTGTGGACAGACATCACTGAACGCAACCATTTTATACGAACACGTTATGAAACAACACAATAATTTGGATTAATTAGTGATTTAAATTGTTAATTAATTTTATCCGTGTTTAATATCTATTAATAAATTTGATATTGATATTCATTTTTGTACTTTTTGTAAAATAAAATATCAAAATATTAAAAATCATTTGATTTGCAAACATTTTATCCATGAAAAGGCGAATACAGTAAAATTACAGGTAAATAAATTGTTAAAATACAACTAGTATTTAATTTGTTTACATTATTTGATAGATTATGTTGTATCCATATAACTAATATCGATGCAATATCTTGTTTAATATTAATGAACTCTTAATTAGTTAATCATTTAATTAATTAAAATTTATTTTGTCGACGTTTTATATGAATAGTATGGCCAACACATGTAGAGCACGTGTTTGTGATTATTACTGCTGTGTTTGAATGTGTTTGTGTTTAGACACCAAACATGGGATCAATTTGTGGTGATTTTCGTGGTTTAAATCAAAGACAATTGATTTCAATTATCAATGTATTAAAGCGTGAAAATAGTTGTTTGAAAACAGATTTATTGAGATTTCAATTATTGGCTCAAAAATATGAGAAATGTTTGAATTCATTGCAAGAAAGCTATGAAACAAATATTGAAAACCATTTCATAAAACAAATCAATTCATTAAAAGACACCAAAAATTGTTTCATTTATTTGAATGACAATCAAATTAATGTGAATACAAATGAAAAGAAAATTGAATCAAAAGTGAATGAAATGTCAAATGAATTGAAGACAAAAACAGATAATAATTGCGAAACAAATGCCAAAAGAAAAGTGAAATCAAATACAAGTGAAGCGAAAGACAGCGAAACAGAAGAGTATAATAACGGGTCGAGTGATGAAGAAATGGACAGCAATTCAGACACCGATTACTCTGAGAGAAAGACTAAGAGGAAGAAAATTAATGCCAAAACTGACGGTCAGTTTGTATGCGATTTCATGGGATGTGAGAAGACATTTAGTTTGAGGTATTCTTGGGATCGACACAAACGCTTGCATTTGGGACTCATTTATAGTTGCGATGTCTTGGGCTGTGATCGCAAATATAGGTCAATACAAACCCTCAATAAACACAAACTCACACATTTGGGTCAGAAATGGCGGTGCGATGTCCGCCACTGTCGGACAATCTGTGCCACTAAACCTCTATTGGTTCGACACAAGAGAGCTATGCATAAGAAGTCACATTTGGGAAGTGATTACAATTCAAACACAACTCATTTGGTGAAGAAAACTGTCGGCAAATTTAGATGCGATTTCATTGGTTGTGGAAAGAGATATAACACAAAAAGATCACTGAATGCACACAAAGAAGTACATTTGGGTCGTATCTACCGGTGCGATGTCCGCCACTGTGCGACAGTGTTTGCCAGGAAAGCCAATCTACAGCAACACATGAGCCGGAGACACAATTCTCTGAAGTCATTATCTGAATGCAATCAAAACATAATTCATTTGATGGCAAAAACAGAGATTAAAAGCGAAATAAAGTCGAATCTAATTGAGACCTATAGGTGTGATGTCGACGACTGTAACGCTATGTTTACCACTCAGTTGTACTTAAATAAACACATGAGTGTCGGACACGGATTTAACCATCCATACCATCAATTGGGGTCTGATTACAAGACTGAGTGTCAAATAAGTCTAACAGAGCATCGGATGAATCCATCAAATGAAAGGCAATTCAAAGCTTTAATCAATGTCTGCGATAAGAGTATTACCGGTAAAGAAGAAAATTGTGTGAATGAAAACCAGTCGATAGCAGATCCGGAAGAATCAGTGGACAAACTATGGATTATGTGTCCCAACACTGACTGTCAGTATAAGAGTGAATGCAAACAAGACATAAGAGATCACATTAAAAGTCACTCAAATGAGAGCAATCAATACGATTTCAAAGACCGGTCAAACCCTATGGACAGCACATATCGGTGCCAATGGCCCGGTTGTGGACAGACATCACTGAACGCAACCATTTTATACGAACACGTTATGAAACAACACAATAGTTTGGATGAAAATAAACATTAATTAGAGTAAATTAGAGTTATTTTAGTTGTATTTTTAATTATTTTTATTATAAATATATAATTACATTTGTGTAAATTATATTAAATCATTAATTTAGAAATTAATTAATTTTTGTATTTTTATCAGAACATTAAAAAATAAAATATTTTACAATTAATTTATTGAATTTAATTCTTTAATTTACTTTTATCGTAATTAGTTTTAATAAAGTTTTGGGTTTTAATCCACGTTTTATCTGAACACAAGTGGAAATCACGTGACAGTCATTGTTGTTGTTTGTATGCAATGAATGAGTGTTTGAGTCAAACATGGGATCAATTTGTGGTGATTTTCGTGGTTTAACTCAAAGACAATTGTATTCAAAGTTAAATGAATTGCAAAATGAAAACAATTGTTTGAAAACAGATTTATTGAGATTTCAATTATTGACACAAATGTATGAAAAATATATGAATTTTTTGTGTGAATTGAATGAAACGATTGAAACAAATATTGAAAACCATTTCATAAAACAAATCAATTCATTAAANTGTATGAAAAATATATGAATTTTTTGTGTGAATTGAATGAAACGATTGAAACAAATATTGAAAACCATTTCATAAAACAAATCAATTCATTAAAAGACACCAAAAATTGTTTCATTTATTTAAATGACAATAAATTCAATGAAAGGATTCAACAATTACTTGGTATTTATATTAATTTTATAAAAATATTTAATAATTTAATTTCAATTGTAATTCAGATCTGAATTCAAGTTATGTTTCAATCGGTTGTCAAACGAGTTATGAATTGATTGAAGAGTTGTCTCAAAGAGAAGACAATACAAGACATGAAACACAAGACAAAGGATTGAATACTCGAGAAGTGATTGAATCAGACATTGAATCCAATGATNAAGGATTGAATACTCGAGAAGTGATTGAATCAGACATTGAATCCAATGATGGCATCGATTGTGATATTAATGTGGAATCAGATAACGAGACAATTGACGGAACAGTTGATGAAAATGTTGTCACAAATCAAACACAAAACATGAGTATTACTGAAGAAACAAATAAATCAAATGACAAACAAAAGCAAAAGTTATCTCAAAATAAAGCCAATAAATGTCATCCAAAACCAGACATCGGCTTAACTGAAGTCATATCAGATGAGGGATTAAATGTTGGCATCGATTGTGAGGTTAACATCAATTCAGAAGACGTAACGATCGGTAGAAATGTTGATAAAAATCTATTGAATGAAAGACAAGAATTGAATATTAAAGAAGAGAAAAGTGAATCAAAATTAGTTGAGAGGAAGACTAAGAAGAAGAAAATGAATGTCAAAACTGACGGTCCGTTTGTCTGTGATTTCATGGGATGTGAGAAGAAGTATAGCTATGAAAGAGGTCTCGATAGACATAAACGTCAAAAACATTGCTCTCAAAGCTATGGTTATGAAGAAATGGACGACAAGTCAGACATTGATTGCACCCAAAGACAGACTAAACGCACAAAATATGATACGAAAACTGACGGTCATTTTGTATGCGATTTCATGGGATGTGGAAAGAGATATAAGGAAAAGAGATATTTAAATGAACACAAAGATATTCATTCGGATCAGACCTATGAGTGCGATGTCGAAGAATGTGGTCAAGTATTTGCTACAAAAACCAATTTAAAGGTACATATGTATAGACGACACAAGTCTAAAAAGTCATTGTCTCGAAGTGACAATTATTTAAAGACAAAAATAGATATTAATGGCGAAACAGAAGAGTATAATAACGGGTCGAGTGATGAAGAAATGGACGTCAAGTCAGGCATCGATTGCACCGAAACTGAAACTAAACGTCGAAAACTCAATGTGAAAACTGACGGTCAGTTTGCCTGTGATTTCATGGGATGTGAGAAGACATTTAGTATAAGGCGTTCTTGGAATCGACACAAACGCATACATTTGAGATCAGACACCGATTTGAAGCCTAAACGGAAACCCAATTATTGCTGTGATTTCATCGGTTGTGGAAAGAAATACAGCGATAAGAGGATATTCCGGAACCACAAACTCACGCATTTGGGTCAGACTTATCGGTGCGAAGCCGACGGATGTGACCAAATATTTACCACTGAATTCAATTTGAATAATCACGTGAAGAGTGTCCACAGCACTCGATACCAGTGCGAACATTGCGATTACAAGACCGGACTCTTAAAGCGTATAAAATCTCATCGAATCAGTCATTCAAATGAACGCTTATTCAAGTGTTCAATCAATGGCTGCGTTAAGACGTTTAAAACAGTAGTTGAGTTGAATAAACATCAGTTGAGAGCACATCCGGATTCGTTTGCAGACATACCATGGATTGAATGCTCGCATACTGGCTGTCAGTATAGAAGTAAATGCAAACCAGACGTTTATAATCACATGAAAGGCCATTCAAAGTCCTATCGATGCAAAGAATGTGGAAAAACATTTGGTTTTAGTAGAGTTTTAAGAATTCACGAGAAGATTCACAACAAGTCGTCTCAAATCCCGTGTGAATGGTATGGATGTGAGCGTCGATTCACTAATAATACTGCAATGAAAGACCATATGAATACACACACGGCTGCGACCACATACCGGTGCCAATGGCCCGGTTGTGACAGAACATATAACGCCCATCGAGTTTTAAGTTCCCACATACGGAGAGTGCATAAGGGTTTGTTGGACAACAAGTGTCATTGGCCTGAATGCGAGTACTCGACCACTAATCCCATTAGACTTCATAATCATATCAATAGACAACACAAGGGTCTGCGGGACTACCGGTGCTCTCATACGGGCTGTGATTATACGACCACTAAATGCGGAGAATTGGATAAACATATGGTTATTCATAAGCAATAATTTTATTTAAGATAATATGATTGATACACCTTATCCACGATTATCCGGAATTACAGTATGAATACTGGAACTGTTGACAACTAATCAAATAGATAACTATGTGGTGCGATATTTTTGAACTTTTTATTTGTTCCAATAGTCCACTACTTTTATGATTACTTTTAGTTTTCAATCTAATAACTCAATGTTTTATTGTTAAGGCCGTGTAAAGTAGGCAAAATAGTGTTATACAGTATGCTTCACAGACTAATCGCCGGGCAAACCATATGATTTTGAACACGTACATTGTTACACATAAAGCGCATGTGCGACCACCACAGTCGACTGGTCTGTGAAGCATACTGTACAATAAATTATTGTATTTCAAATGTCATTGTAAACTGAAGCTAAGGTTTTAAGGGATTATCTGCTAATGAGTGGAATAATGGCTCTAATCTGTATTAAATCCCTAATAATAATTTATTCGTTGTTTTGTGCCTTAAGTGTTAATTAATATGTATTAATAGATTTTAAATTGTTTTTGAGTTAATTTTAATAAAATTAATATTTTTAAATTATTGCAGTAATTGCTAATTACTTAATTTGTTTGATAGATTGGTTGATTGGCATGCATTGTGGAACTTTTAAAATGCATAAATATTTTGATATTAAATCATTAACCATTGAAATTAATATATTTGTGTATTTTTATCAGAATATTAATAAAATAAAATATTAATTTACAAATATTTAAGTGAATTTAATTATTTAATTAGTTTTATTAATAATAAAGTTTTGGTTTTAATTCGCGTTTTATATGAACATAATTTGACTCCACGTGACAGTCATTGTTGTTGTTTGCGTGCAATGAATGAGTGTTGGAGTCAAACATGGGATCAATTTGTGGTGATTTTCGTGGTTTAAGTCGAAGACAATTGTATTCAAAGATCAATGAATTAAAGACTGAAAACATGTGTTTATTAACAGATTTATTGAGATTTCAATTATTGACACAAATGTATGAAAAATATATGAATTTTTTGTGTGAATTGAATGAAACGATTGAAACAAATATTGAAAACCATTTCATAAAACAAATCAATTCATTA